GTGGAGAGTACGACCCTATTGGTTGGGTTGACGGTCACTTTGTTCAGCTGGGTTACCAAATCGCTGGTACTCTTGCCGTCTTCGCTTGGTCCTTTACACTCACTTGCATTCTCCTTTTCATTCTCAACCTCATCCCTGGCCTCTCCCTTCGTGTCTCCCCAGAGGAGGAGGAGCTCGGCACCGATGATGGCCAGCTGGGCGAGTTTGCGTATGACTATGTTGAGATGACTCGACACATGGCTGACAGCACACATCCTCATTCTGATGCTAGTGCCCGAACAAGTCAGGAGAAGGTTTAAAGTGGAGATTAGTGAAATATGGGTGGTTCAAATTGTCAGTGGAAGATGCGTGCTGTGTATCTTGAGCGTCACTCGCTTCTAAGTTTAGAGTTAAATATACCCTTTTGTAATGCCTCCTGAAGCTGTTCCTACCACGTTGACAAGTCCACTATAAGCACATATCACTTCTCACTAATAATTCGAGAATGGTTCTCGCATAATAATGGTTAAGCATATAGACCCATTGGCCGTTGATATTTGATTGTCATAAATTACAACCCCTACAAACCGTTTCCTCAGGGGTCCTTTATACTCCTATCAAGGGCTTAAAACCAAAGCACGTGGGTTCTCATTGTCATGCCTCCCGCTTCCTTCTTTGTCCTGTGGTATCTTGGTCTTTGCCGTCAAAAGTCGTTTGTCGCCGAAAATCACGGCATGCTAAACACAAAACTCCATATACACTCCTGTGTCCTCTAGCCATTGCGTACGTGAGCGAAAGCGTGTATAATCTAATGCTGGTGGCTGTCAGTTGTGTCTCTCGCTGTGGTCGAGCAGCCTTACCATGAACAGGGAAGTGAACAACGAAAAGAATCCGGTGGTGTCATTTCTAAAGCTAAAGCAAAGTGTCGGTCATTCAGTTCATGGCGTCAGATTGGTCACCGTTCTCTTGAGGTCGGTGGATAGTCGCAGTGCTTGCGCCGGTCGAGGGTTCCCCGTTCCCTGGATGCCCATGTCCAAGAGGTGCTGCGCTCGCTTGGCTAGTGGTATGCTGTGGTAATCCGCCTTCTAGTATGTTGTTAATGCTGTTCTGAATAAAAGCTGGCCCAAGCAATCCTGGTTCCTGTCGTGCGAGTGACGATGAAGGCAGGAAGCGGGCGAATGTCGGAAAGAATGGAGGGAGCTGACCTGTTGGGACACTAGGAGGTGGAGGCGGTACGGGAATAGCTTGTTGAAATCCGTGGTTCATAAGAGCGTTAGGATTTATCGTTCCGTTGCCGTTGGCCGGATTCTGTGCCTGGGCATCCACGACCATCTCGCTGCCGTCCAGACCCTCGAAATCGTTGTCATCGTCAACCATCTCATCGTCGGCTCCATCTCCGGCAGTGGCTGTTGGCTGCAATACGGAAGTGCGTTGCCGTTGTCCGGGGTAGACTGCTGTTCGATTCCAGCTGTGCATGTCCCATAGTTCCTCGAACTGTGGTGAAGTGTTGAGGAAGTCACGGAACTTGGACACCATAGTGCCGGAAAAGACACAAAACACATCTCGCTGGTGTTGAGTGAACTCTGTCATCAGGTCAGCAGCAGTAAACAAGAATCTACGGTAAACATACCCGGGGGTGCTTGTCGACAGTATGGCTGGAAGTCGTCACGCTGGAAAGCGGCAACTCCAGTCAAACTCAAGTGGGTCAATCGAGGGCATGAGTTGAGCAACTTCATGATACTCTGTGAAATGTCAGTAATGGCAATCCTGGAAACAAGAGGTGACGAACCTTGAGAGTAAGGTTGACACAGTAGCTCAGATGGACACGCTCGAGACTCGAAGCGTAGTACTCATTGCCAACGAGCATGCCACTGGCATCTCGTCGTACTCTGGGGCGAAATGCGGCTTCTGCGAGATGAAAAACTGAGTCATCCGTGATAGAGCTACATTTCACAAGTCCAATACGCTTCAGTTTGGGCAACAGAGCAAGACGCTTCACACTCTCGTCTGTCAAGTTGACACAGCAGCCCAGATCTATGTATCGAATGCGGTTGCAGTTCTGGACTAATCTCTTGACACCTTCGTCGGTGATATTGCCACAGTGACCCAGATGCACGTAATGCAGGTTCTTACCAAGCTTTGAGATAGCATTAACGGCTACATCAGTGATGTTTCGGCACTTGGCAAGAACAAGGTTGCGAAGGCGAGGTGCGACATCAATAATCTTCTGGACGGCAGCATCTGTCAAACGCACGCAGGATGTCAGGTCGAGAATGCGGAGATGTTCAAATAGTCGTCCATGGGGTAGAGTCAGGAAAGCATCGTCATCGATTAGTTCGCAGCTTGCTAGCCGTAGCTCTCGGAGACAGTTGCCCTTGACCATAAGAGAAGTTATAGGGCCGTTACCAATGCGATTGCACTGGTGGAGGTCGATCTCGAGGATGTTGGGACAGTTTTCGGCGAAGGCGTGGATAGCGTCGTCTTGGAGCTGGCTACATTCATTCAACTTCAGCTGCATTGAGTTAGCCAACGTCCAAAGCTGCATAGGTCATCGTAACTTACTCTCTTAATATAGCGACAGCTTGTTGCCAAGTTAATCATGCTCTCGTTGGAGACATTCTCGCAGCCAGAAATGTTGAGTCCTTGAAGGCGACTGCAGTTCTTGGCGATGGTGTTGATAGACTGCTCGGTAATGTTCTTGTCGTTGGAAATGTCGAGTGCCAGCAACGAGGTGCTATTCTCCACAAGGGCGATAAGTCCGGAATCGGTGAGGTTGCGACAATTCGTAAGTGTCAAACGTTCCACCCGACTACAGACTGCGAGCGGCATAACACTACCATCGCTGATTTTGTCAGCAAGGGCGGCGAGGTTGAGCCTCTTGATAAAGTCGCGATATCTGAAAGACGGTGTCTCGAGCTGCAGCGTTTGGCAAATGCTGCCATGGTTCTTCCAGCTCGTACACGCTGGTCGATGCCAGAGTTGATCTACTGTGTTTCTAGCCCAGCGTTTGCAGACAAGCATGCAGTGGAACAGATCCGAGGTGGAACTCAATTTGGCAAACACGCTGATGAGAATCTCGTTTGGCAACCGATGGACGGGCGGTTGGCAAGCATCTTCCACCTGCATATCTTGAAAGTTGGGGACTCCGATGCTTGACTGGGAGTCATTGGCTCCAAGAAAGAAATCAGACTCTTCGTTATCGGCGGGCGCGGGGGAAGTTGACGAGGATGACGATCGAGAATCTTCCTGCTCGTCGGCGGTTGCAGGACTCTGCCGAGAGGCAGGGCCAGCGGCAGCAGCGGCCATATTGTCGGTGTTGAGGGAGGAGCGCTTCAGATGAAAACGCAAACACAATCAAAGAAGCGCTTTCGGTGTGGCTTTTTTCGGTGTTTGGGCAGGATTCAGGCGGAGTTCAGGGATCACAAGGGTGATTCTTAAGCAGCGGTAGAGGTAGCGGTAGCGGATGACTGTTTATCGTAGGGACAACAGCGGATATGTGCAGGCAAGCAGCGTGCAATCGGAGGATGCGTGGATAAGAATATAGGTCAAAAAGGTCCTTCTCGTACCCGAAAGCCGTGTTTCGCGACTGCGAGGAGGGTGATGATGTTTTGGCGCTGGGAGTTTGTTGGCTTTGCTTTGTTGGTAAGGTAAGGTAATAAGTTAAGGCAGGGCAGCCAAATGGGGCGGAGGTTTTTGGGTGCTGGGCTCCAGTCTTGCCAGTGCCAGGGTCAGGTTGGGCGCGGCTGCGGTACTTAAAAAGCAAGGAAGACAGCACTGATGACACAGCCAAATGATGAAGAAGCACAAGTATCCACGAGGAAGAGGGGATGGACCAGAGACATGGATCGAAGAGGCGTTTGTGTTTATTTTGCTGGTTTCAGCCGCGTCCCCTGTAAAAGTGCCGCTGTCGTGCGCTACGATGGCCCTTTTTACAAGCGCTGAGCTTGAGACTGAACCCGATAGAGAATGGATTGGGTGAGCCCAGGCCAGTTGATCCCCCAGCCTAGAATCTGGATCTCCTCCTACGTCGTAGTCGGGCGGGATGTCCGTAGTGGGGTTTCTCTGGTATGGCAGGACTGGTTAGGTCAGGGGTTTGGGGTCTGCGGGTCTTTGTTTTGCTCTTGATCTTGGTCTTGTTCTTGTTGATGATGATGACGATGCGTGAGTTGGTGGAGTCAGGTTCAATGCGAGGAATGATTGATGTTTCAGTAAACCGCGTGCCTGGTTCACGCCTCAGCCAACATGTCTTTCTGGTCTGTCTGTCTGTCTATCTGTTGTTGCTGCGGGGAAGATGACTGACATGGGATCAGGTACATGAAGGAGGTGTGCTCAATGTTCTAATTTGAGGTTGAAAGGTTGAAAGGACGAATCAATACCCGCCGTGCAGGTGGCTTGAGCCATTAATAGACTACGCGATGATAAATGGATATGAAGATGCAAGTAAACGCATATACTGTATCTGTGACAAGGATAGAAAATAATGCAGGCCTTTTCTGCTACGTTTGCATGATAGGAACAGCAATTAGGTTCGTCAATGACTCCGTCTTGATGATTGAGTTTCACATGACACAAAAGTCACGCTGATACACGTTTCAACTGGTACCTGATCACATAGAAGCTGAGAGCGAGGCGTTAGAGCTAGTGTATTGGATAACCGTCCAAAAATTACAGTATTTCAAAACTGACACAGATCTTCTGACCATCCCACTCCCGTGATATCTCATCGCATTTGAAGCATCTCGATCTTCTGAAACCCAAGGTACAGGGTAACACCCCTCACGATGGCATCGTTGACGTAGATGGATTTGATCTTGGCGATGTGTTTTGTGGGTCCCCGCAAGCATTGGATTTCCTCGGACTAGGTTTACCCGTACGTTCCGTATTATGGAACTCTTCCACGTACCTGACTAGCAACTCAGACCATCACCAAGCTCATTTTCTTGGTGTAGTTGATTGAGGAGACTTTGCTATTTCAAGTAACTAGTCATTGGTCTGTTCGACATTGCGTCGCGAGCGCCACGATGTTCCGTCCCTCAACTCTACGCCCTGCGCTTCGCGCATCAGCCCACACAAGATGCGCCATCGCTCGAACAACCCAAAGGACTCTTTTCTCCCAGCGATCGAGCCGTCTGACCGATGACCTCGATGTTAATCAGCTTAATTCGAAGCGACGAGATTACGAACAGAACCGCACCGCCTTTCTAGCTGCTGGTGCCATTGCCGGCATTGTTTCCTTCGTCTACACAGCATGGAAGTTGAAGAAGGCCATTGAGGCCCAAGGAGAAAAGGAGAAGGCTGCTATCAAATGCGATACGGAAGTTCCGACAGAAATCTTCAAGACTGAGGCGGGCGAAAAGCGAAAAGTGGTTATTCACGATGAAGATGGGAATGAGGTTGTTCCTACAGGCAACAAGACCGTCAAATTGTTCCCTCGAAGGTTAGAAGTTGAAGATGCTGGAGCGGCAGGAGACGTCGCTGGTCCAATTGCTGCCACTGTAACGGACAAGCATGGTACAGAGTTCACACTGGTTGGGCTGGGAACACGGACAGTGACCTTCCTTGGCATCGAGGTGTATGTGGTGGGCTTCTATGTTGCTACCCAGGATATCGAGAAGCTCCAGCATTATCTGGTCAAGAAGATTAACCCTCTAGCCACAACACTGATTCCTTCTGAGAAGGAAGATCTGCGCAAGGCACTCCAGGATCCTGTCGAGGGTGAAGAGACATGGAACTCGATTCTGAAGGACGCTGGATGCCGCTCAGCATTCCGCATCACCCCTGTTCGAGATACTGACTTCCCTCATATGCGCGACGGCCTTGTGAGGGCTGTTCAAGCTCGCTCATCACATAATCCGGAGTATAACGATGAGACATTCGGAAATGCTATGAGGCATTTCAAGATCCTGTTCCAACGAGGTCTCGTAGCAAAGAAGAACGAACTACTTCTTGTCCGAGATGCTGCTGGAAAGCTGACCATCACTTACACTGATGGCACTCGCAAGGAGTCTGTCAAGTCCACACTGGGAACTGTCGAGGATGAGCGACTTTCAAGGCTGCTGTGGCTCAACTACCTCTCTGGTAAGAAGGTTGCGTCAGAGGAGGCCAGGAAGAACATTATCAATGGCGTCATGGAGTTTGTTGAAAGACCTGTTGGCACTGTCGCCACCCAGGTTTTGTGAGAGGGTCAAACCACAGCAAAAAGATGTACATTACGGAAATTAAGCCATGTATCACTAGGCACAAGCCAGCAAGTCGTTGTAAAGGGTCATGAATTCAACTCATCTGGGTCATCCACCCATCTTGTAATACCGTCTAATCTTCAGGTGCAACCGATATCTATATGCCGCATACGGTCTACAAAAACATGCCTAGAGCTTGGAACTAAAGCATCATGTGCCCTTAGCCCAACGTGTCCGACATTTGTTTTGATGTTTCTTACGCCTTCAGGGCACCGGCCTCCTTGAGCAGGGAAGCAAGCTTTCCACCAGCCTTTAAGCTCTGAACGTCGGAGTTGCCGCCAATGTGCTGCTGCTTGATGTAGACATTGGGAACAGTGCGCTGGCCAGAGATTTGCTCGAGAGCATCCTGGAGGGCAGAACCGTCGGCTACAAGGCGTTAGAGACTGTTGTTTAATACAATGGTTGAGAACTGTAAAACTTACAAACTTCATCAAGCTCGAGAAGCTCGTACTCAGCGTTAAGCTCATCCAGAGTCTTCTTGGTCTGCTTGCAGTAAGGGCAGTAAGACTTGGAGAAGACAACTACGAGGGGTCATTAGCAGGGGTCCCAACGCGGGGCAAAAAACAGAGAGATAACGTACCAACAGAGTTGTTGTCGATGAGCTGCTGAACCTTGGTAGATGCTTGAGTCATTGTGCCTGGGCTTGTTGCGCGAGTGAAGAATGATCTAAAGAAATTCATAGAGGAGAACGAGATGGCTTTGATGTAGGGGAATGGAAAGTGGGGTGGAGGTATTTATTCTACGTCAGATAGAGGTTGATTTGGCTGTACTGGGCTGTAATGCTGGGCTGTGAAAGGCGAGTTTGCTTTGTCATGGGCGTTTGAGTGGAATTAATTCGGCGACCATGAAAAATGCGATGATGCAATGCGCTGGGTTTTGGGATTAGGTAATCATGCTTTTTGGAATCATTGTGTTGAGGTGGTTCGTTCATCATCGCCTCGGCTGTACAGCTGAATATTGTTGATATATTTGTCTCGAGTGTAATCACTTACAGACACAATAAAAATAGGACGCGATGATTCCAGTCGGTGTTTAGGCTTGTTCAGTCATCATCTTGTGTAAGTGCTTATGCTGCGTGAGAACGAGCAACTGCCGTTGAATCCTTGCATTTATAAGCCGAAGGATCTCTCAGCATGGAACATGCTAACAGTATCTGAGCCCAAAAGAACTTTTAGGTGGTCTGATTGTTTTTCGTTAGACGCTCTGTTCATACTGAAGCTCTTGATAACCTATCAACGAATGATAATTGGGATAGGGTGAGTGAAGCCAATCGTATAAACAGGTGCAGTCTAAAAACATTTGAGTTGAAAGGGAGCCGAGTAATTGGACGTACCCTAAACTTATGTAAACTTATGCGAAGTTACTTAGCCTTTCCATTGTTTAGGATCGAGACATCAAAGAACTATAATGAGATCAAGTTCATTTCGGTCTGTACTTATAAGATCTTAAGCTTCTTTATAGGTAGTCTTGGGCTACAGCCTCCTCGAGCAATCAGAGTCTACGGTGGTCCATCGGCTCTACTAGTCATGATAACATCGTCAACCTCCACTCAAGAGGGGCCGGAGCTTGAAGCAACAATCGTCTGACAACGGACCGTGACTTAGCTTACGGGTTTCTAACTCCAGTTCTTTTTGATCATTGGTTCTTACTTTGTATCAAATGATCTAAGACAGGTCTGAGGTGGCTCTGGATATACCCACCATGAAAACACTGACAAACTTCATGATGTAGCCTAATACCTGACTTGGCTTTGCTTTTTCCCAGCAAGATGTCAAAGGTTTACGATAATGGCTTGAACGCAACTGATACTGTTTTCATCGCAAAAGTTCCAGTTATCAATCTTCAATATACTCCAGATCTATAGCTTCAAAGTTGGAGTTGAAGAGACATCCTACAACATCAACTCTTAGCGCCTGGAGACCCCTTAATTACCTACCATATTCCGCTAGAACAGTCTGACACATTCCCCCAGGTTTCAATTGCCAATTGTCAGGCCATGAACCTGGAAGAGGCGTTGTCATTTCCCCGTGCGGCTCTTGGCTGAGATTAAACCAGCGGAGGGGTCCAGATCATCAAATTTAGAAACCCAAATCTGGCCTCTCTCCCTTTTGTGAGACTTGCTAGACTTTTTTTTTCTTCACCATCCATCATCAACTGCGACACAAGCACAGGCGCAACGACGCACAAGCTAAAAGAACCAAAATCTACAGCGCATATTTCTTGCATTCGATTTGTTTCTTGGGGCGACTCTTGTACATGTACTTTGCAGTACTCCGCCCCCATCTCCACCAATCGCCGCTCTCACGTCTGTAGTTTTCTGGTATCCCCTAAGCTGCCCGGTTTCTTGCATTGCGTCGCCCCCCGTCATCATCAACTCACGATTCGGTACCGGTACCTACGCTTGGCTGCAAGAAGGAACAGAAGAAGAGAGAGACGCTGTTAATCTGGGCTGCACCGACGACTAAGCCCCTCACCAGTGGCACCGCAAATAGAGCCCAGCCCGATACACCCGTTTGCCCAGTCTCGCCTTGTATCACCAGAGTCACTTGATCTGACCTCCCCCACTACCAAGTACCAACTCGCCTCGTCGCGCAAAGACGAGACAGGTTAGATACATACCTTCTAGCCTCTGTCGTTCGCTGTCGACTATCACTAGGAAGACCCTGGCCCAAGGGTCGTTGATCGTTGCCTTCTGCTGCCATTTGCAAGCCTCGCAAGCTTCTTGTTCGTCGTGCAGCGTAACCCACCTGGCTCTGTCCTGCTGCTTGCTCATCGCTCCACATCAGCCCACGGGTCGATCACAAGAGAACCACCAGTACCAGTCGCTCAGCTTTATCGCCGACCGCCCTGTCTTTTTGACCTCCTTCTGTTCGGACCTTGGTTTGGGTCAATTGCTGCAACCCGTATTCCCATTTGCCTCTAGGGTGTCCTTTTTTGGACCACCTTAGAAAACGTCGAACAAGGTGGATTCCGCCCAAGAAATCGTGGCATCTCCCGGTGCCTTACAAAACGTCACGTCCTACCTCAACGGGGCGCTGGCTAACCTCTCGTCTGCTTTTCAAGATTCGAGCGGATACATATCTGACACTCTCGGCGTACCTCCTACCGTTGTCTACAGCAGCCTCGCTGTCCTGCTCGCCGTCCCATTAACAATGTCGAGATACGGCTGGTCCATCGGCCGCGAACAGATTTCGCCCTACAGTTCTATGCCCAGCGGCGTCCCCGCTGTCACCGACGACGACTTTAGCTACATCACTTCTCAAGATCTTGATGGCGTCACCGAGGATCGATACTATCCCAGATCTCACTCGACTGCACCCCCACCAGCTCCAGAAGACGATGTCCTCCTTATCAAGAATCGCGGCATCACATATCCCGCTCACTTTCCCGCATATGCGATTGGAGATGGAAAGTTGCGGGTGATAGACGTCAAGGACCGGGTTGGTCTGATGATGGAACTTCCTGAGCGAGGAACATCACGCATCAAGCTTCTCTATAAGGGAAAGCAACTCAAGGACCCCATGGCGCCAGTACGAGACTATGGTGTCAAGAACAACAGCGAATTGATGGCGGTCATGCCCGAGATCAATGATGTCAGCAGTGGCTCAGAAGAGGAGATGGTGATTGTCGATGCTCCTAGAGAAGACAGGAAGACTCGCCGCCGCAAGAAGAAGCGTGATAAGAAGAAGGGCATCACCAGTGATGGTGACTCCTTGTCAGGCAGCCCCCGAGACAGCGCTTCTACTTTCGACCACCCCAGATCACCTCCAGCACCACCCACATCTTCAGGCGCTACCAGTGGACCCATGAAGGTTCTCGACGATCTTGCTGTTGAGTACCAGATCAAGTGGTTGCCTTTGTGCTCCGATTACATTGCATCGCCACCTTCAGACCCCAAGAAGCGAGAGGAAGACCACCGAAAACTTTCCGAGAGCATCATGATGCACATTATGTTGAAACTGGACGGCGTCGAGGCTGAAGGCATGCCTGAAGTCAGAGCGCGAAGGAAGGAATTGGTGAGACAGGTCCAAAAGACATTGAAGGATCTTGATATTGCAAAGGAATCTTAAGCCCGCGGTTACGCGATGGCGTTGATGTTGAGTGGAAAAGATTGTCTGGTTTGAGTGCAGGCGTTACAGGGAATAATCCATTATTCGACCACCTTACCATTGCTCTTGATATAGAACAAGCTGTACAATAGATTCAAGCGTTGCCTTGACCATGATGACCACCATAGACAGCATTGAGCAAATTGGCACATTTAATTTTGAATCTTGAGTATCACCATGTGCACAGATCCCTGTCATGACTTATGATGTAAACCCCAATGATGGTGCCAATGCCATGTCTTGGAACAGCCCGATCTCTATCATTACGTGCGAACCATTCTACGAACCGAAGCCCAAAAACTGCATGATTTCCAGTGGGCGAAGCGGCAATTCCTCGGCTCAACCCGCTAGGGCTAACAGACCTAAGCGGGAAGGAGTCGCTCGCGGTGAAAGGTTGCCTTTGCCCCAATAGGCTAGCGCGGTTTGCTCAGAAGGCACAACGAGCCCTCAAGCGGTCCTTGGATTTTTCGCCCGTCAATCACTATCGCGACCACTTGCACCCAACATTCGAGGGACGACTAACCCCAGCAGCACAGCAAAATAACAAATCTTCGCCGACCGGTTTGAGGATTTGAGCTGCCCTTCTTTCCTTTTCTTTAATTCCCCCCAGAAAAGACGGTTACGATGTCGAGCTTCGAGCAAGTTGTGAGTACCGACTGAAACAACATATCCATTCACAATTCATATGTGACTTGAGGCAAAAGACGAGCTGCGGGCAGCCGGGAAGCATTGGGCATGGGATTGGGGATGCTTTGGGGTCTCAGTCATCAGCGTCCGCTGGTGCTGTGAACGCTGCTCGTCGTTTGCTTCACATGGAAATATTGGTCTTGAAGATGCATTTCGCTGACCGTTGTGTGCGTTTAACAGGTCGTCATCGATGGCAAGGGCCACCTCCTTGGCCGACTCGCCTCCATTGTCGCCAAGCAGCTCCTGAGCGGCCAGAAGATCGTTATTGTCCGCTGTGAGGCTCTTAACATCTCTGGCGAGTTCTTCCGTGCGAAGCGTATGTACACCCCACGACACCACTCCGATCTGTGGCCGAGCATCGTCAACACCAAAACGATGCCACTCCTAGGAACACCAAGCTGATTATGCCAACAGTCAAGTACCACGCCCACCTCCGAAAGATCACCCGTTACAACCCCACCCGCGGTGGTGAGTCGAAACCGTACCTACACACTTGACCACAGTCATTGACTCGATACAGGTCCCTTCCACTTCCGCGCTCCCTCCCGAATCTTCTACAAGGCTGTCCGTGGCATGATCCCCCACAAGACCGCCCGTGGTGCCGCTGCTCTCGAGCGCCTCAAGGTCTTCGAGGGTGTCCCCCCTCCCTACGACAAGACCAAGAAGGTCGTCGTTCCCCAGGCTCTCCGTGTTCTCCGTCTCCAGCCCGGCCGCAAGTTCTGCACTGTCGGTCGTCTGTCCAGCGAGGTTGGCTGGAAGTACGAGGACGTCGTTGCTCGGTATGTTTTGGTGTGCTGTGTGTGAATTGAACATGACTAACTCTACCCAGATTGGAG